TCCTGATTGGTGTGACACCACATTCAATCTTACTACATGGGCTAATGCTACACGTCTGACCTATGCCAGGTCTGATGTGTTTTGGTACTGTGGTAGTAATAGATTACTTAATACTCTTCCTCCTGATTGGTCTGGTACCTGCACCATGATTTCACTTATAGTTCCAGTTACTGTAGTTGAAGCAGCAGTCTCTGACATTGAGTCAGGCTCTGGTCATCCTTTTAAGGGACACCGGTTAAAGCGGGATGCCTTATTTGATCCAGCTAGATGATCGCCCACGTACATTGATGCGATTGGCATTCTCCGTGGCGTCCCAAATGAGTACAAGCTAGTAGATCAAGTGGCAGCAGGCTTTGAGTCTGCTCTTTTCTGGTGGGTGACCATAAACAAAAATGTAGATCACATAAACTATGTTCATTACAATGTTCAGCATCTCATTAATTACACTAGAGATTTGGCTTTTGGCTTTCAGGAACAATTAGCAGCTACTTCTATCATGTCATACCAGAACCGCTTGGCTCGGGATTTTGTTTTGGCCGAAAAAGGGGGCATTTGTACTATCATTGGACAACAATGTTGCACCTATATTCCAATGAATACTGATCCTGATGGCTCTATTGCTAGGGCTCTGGCTGGCTTAAATGTTTTGTCAGAAGAGATGGCCGAACACTCTGGTATTGCCAATTACATTGAAGATTGGTTTACCAATACTTTTGGCAAGTGGAGAAATTTAGTGATCTCTGCACTTACATCTTTGGTTGACACTGGTTAGACACTTCATGTATTAGAAATGTTTAGTGTAGATGTAATCATTGAATAAATCAGCACTGTTTTGAAGTTACTCGGACTGCTTCGTCTCTCAGAGTTAACGTGGTGAAAAGAACGGGGGCCAACACTAGTCTCCAAAGTGCATCTGGGCTGAATACGTTTCACGAAGGCTAAGCCATGTTGAACACCAGGTGAGCCGGTGGTGGCTCATACAAGAGGGAATATGGAAGGAAGAAGGGCCAGCATGGCTAAGTTAAAAAATAGAAAGAGTAAAATTAAAAATAAAGTTCCACCCTGAATTGCTGCTAAAAAAAAAAAGCCTTGTATGTTGAAAGCAGAACAAAGTCCGAACCACGTTTCCAACCGGAACTTCACAGTGTGACATCCTGCGGAAGTAAACAGCACTAACAGCGATAGCTTTGTAGATGAATGGGGTTAGTTGAAGACGGTTGTCTTTTTTTTATCGCAGATGTATATTTAATCTGTAACAAATCAACTATGTCTTCAGTTCAGCGTCTGAGAGAGTTCGTCACCGAGCGACTAACTGCTGCTGTTGAAGAAATATTCGGCGGCTTTGAAAAAATTATCGTCCAGTACGAGGAAGAGATCGGTCGTCAGCGCAGACTGCTGGATATCGTTTGGAAACCAGAAGTAAAGCTACACAGAATAGGTCTGTAAAAGACGAAAGATGTTAACGAAACTAACTGTGTTAGTCTTTGTAAGACTCAAACTAACACCGGTGACTCAGCATAATTTAACTTGTTCAAATATCCGTTTTTCTGTGACGTGCGTCTTATTCGTAAGCTTCTGTATAAACATAAGGAACATAGATTTGACTTTTAACTGTAGATGAAATCCTTTTAATTTAGTTTGTAATGTTTAATTATTTTTTCCTCTGGCGTGATTAACGTAGGAACGAGTAAAACTACACAGAATAGGTCTGTAAAGCCCGAATGATGGTAATAAAACTAACACGTGAATATACTGCAAACCGGTCTGTGTCCTCCACATTAAGAACAGATTTTTGAATAAAGGCGAACTTCCGGTGAGCGTCTTTTCACTTCCATTCAGTCAGTGCGACGAGGAAGGAATAGATGAATTAAGCCTTTATTAGTTCTAAGGTCAGATTGAAATTAAAAGGAACATTTCTGTTTTCACAGGACTATTTCTCATGAGAATCATAGTGGGCCACCTCAGAGCTTGACTCCAAAATTATCAGGACAGTTTGATGCATTTCGATTTTAAGCCCCCCTCAAATGTCAGGTAAACACTATGGTAACTACATGCTCAGACTGATACTAAAAGGAGACTTTCTGTTTTCTCAGACTAATATTTACACATTATATAGAATATGGAGTGGACTTTGTCAGAAAAAAACTACCTGTTAGAACAATTTGAGGATGTAAGTGTCTTTACGTACATGAATGTGGCATTTTATGGATTTTTGGTGACTGTTTGGTTATTTGGTTTTTACAGATTATTTTATTTTGTTTGTGTGTGCATCCAGAGCCCACGGCCGTATTTTGTTACCCCTTACTTCGTGTTTTGTTAATCCATATCTTTTCGTCTGTAAATAAACTGTGACCTGCTGGACATCGAAGCTGCGAGGACCCCAGTAATTGTGTCCCATGTAACAACCATTTCACCCGGGCTACATATATAATGTTTATATGGCATTTAGAGGGCTTTAATTGTGAAATGCTACATCAGAATGTCTTGATATTTTTTGAGTCACACTCTGAGGTGGTCCACTATCATTCTGAAGTGAAATGGTCCTGTGAGAAAAGAAAGTTTTCATCCATCCATCCATCTTTGTCTGCTTTATCCGAAACCAGGTCACGGGGGCAGTAGTCCGAGCAAAGCCTCCCTCTCCCCACACAGCTCCTCTAGCTCCTCAGGAGGAACCCCAAGGCGTTCCCAGGCCAGCTGGGAGACATAGTCTCTCCAACGTGTCCTGGGTCTGCCTTGAGGCCTTCTCCTGGAGGGACATGCCCGGAAAACCTCTCCAGGGAGGCATCCATGGGGCATCCATGTTGAGTGGAACCTCAACTGGTTTCACTCAACATGGAGGAGCAGCGGCTCTACTCCGAGAGTAGAAAGAAAGTTTCCTTATAACAGTCTCTCATAAAGTCATAAAGCTCTATTGTTTAATTTGTTTTTTATTTGGTTATTAATGTATTTATGCATTTATTTCTTTATTTATTAATTCATTTACTACTGACAGATGGACTGACTGAATGAAAGGGAAATCACGTTGACCGGAAGACTGCTTTTATTATGAATTCAGTTTTTCCCCTCTTGCATTATTTGGGATAACCTTCTGAACATGGTACTGTGACCAATTTGAAGTTACAGCATCAATCTCCTAATATATAAATTAAAAATCTTTCCTTGTTATTAATTTATTATATTTATTAATTTATTCCCCTGTTAATTGAATTTATTACCTTAATCGTTACAATTTTCAGTTCAGCTTGAAAATGACAATATGAACAATGTCCTCTACAGAAACCTTTAAGATAGACTGGAAAAATTCCACTAAGAAGCAGGTGAATAAGAAATATTACTTTTGTTTTATCCTCATCACATCGGTGACCTGTTCCTTCCTTTGTCCCTCCAGAGCTGCCACAGCAACATGTCTGTAAGGAAGAGGAGGTTCTGGCTGACCAGCAGCTCTGGAACCAGGACAGGAACTCCAATCTGGACCAAGAGGACCCAGAGCCTCCACAGATTAAAGAGGAACAGGAGGAACTCTGCAGCAGTCAGGAGGGAGAGCATCTTGGACTGAAGCAGGAGACCGATCCCTTTATGTTGACTCCTGCTTATAAGGGAAGGGACCACAGTGAAGCAGAACCAACCAGTGACCAGCAGCTCCTCTCTCACAGCTTTGTTGTAGCTGTGAGCCAGGATCAGGAAGGAAGCCAGCACGGAGACTCAGGATCAGCTAGTAATGCAGAGCCAAAGCCAAAGAGGAGACGTCACAAAGACACAAGTCACAGTAGCAATGTAGACACCTCTCCCCTGTCAGAGACTCAGTGTGATCCTTCCACAGATAGAAAGTCCTTCAAATGTGACACCTGTGGAAAAGCTTTTAAGACTAAGTTCTGTTTGAATAGACATCTGAGAGTCCACACAGGTGAGAGGCCATATGTTTGCAGCACCTGTTGGAAAGGATTCAAGCAGTCATCACATTTGAAATCTCATTTAAGATCCCATACAGGTGAGAGGCTGTTTCTTGTAAAACATGTTTGAACTGTTTCACACAATGGAGGAGCTTGTTGACCTACATTATAACCCACACAAGGGAGAGGCCATATTTTTGTAAAACATGTGGGAAAGGATTCTATATGACGGCACACATGAAAAGACACCTAAGAATTCAAACAGGTTAAAAGCTGTATGCCAGGCTTTTCCATGTATAGACTTTACTTGGGCAGGCCGCCCAGGTACGTTAATGTCCACCCAAGTAATTTTTGCCACCCATTTTTTTTTTTTAAATAATTTCTTTTTTATGTCAGTGAGAACTTTGCCATCCACGGTCAATTAACTACAGAAGTGGGCAGTACTTCTGACATCCTTCAACACCTGAGACACATTAGATAAGAAACAACCACCACAACACATGACAGGATCATAATAGCGGGGGGGGTAGATTGCGTATATTGTGTATATTGTAAATATAATAATAAATGGGAATTCACTGTGTACTTGTATGCAACTTTATTAGCAGCTTCCTCGTAACACAGTTTTCAGTGCTGTGGTGGCGATCTCAGGGTATTCTGTCATGACTTTAATCCAGAACACTGACAGAGTTGTTGTCTCGAACATACTTTTAAGGCCGCCGTCATTTGCGATCTCCAGCAGTTGATCTTCTTCTTGCACAGACCTGCTGGATTCACCTGGTTTGTTGACAGATGGGTTGCGGATCCATTCCTTGGCAGTTCGTGGGTCCTTTGTGGCTGGGGAGTAGCGCTCGAACTCTTTTAAAAGCAAAGACATGTGATCGTGCACCAGCTGGGAGAATGAAGGCTCTGGCTCAGTCTCACCCAAAATCCCCGCTAATGTTTTAAACATGTCCAAAATGCCTCTGTTGACGCGCCGTCCCCACAAATCCAGTTTGGCTTTAAATGCAGCTACTTTATCTGCCAACTTGAAGACAGTTGTCATTTTCCCCTGAAGTGACAGATTGAGTTCATTGAGCAGGCTGAATATGTCGCACAAGTAAGCCAGTTTTGGCGCTCAAGTGACCGAGATGTAACCGAGAGAATGCGGTCATTTTTCAAAATAAAAGATCGTTCATACTCAGATAATAAATAAAACGGAAATAATTAATGATTTCTTGTACGGCCCGGTACCAATTGATCCACGGACTGGTACCGGTCCGCGGCCCGGGGGTTAGGGACCACTGGTTTATATGACACAGAGAAAACCTGGTCCTGTCTGGTTCACATGTGAAGATACTCCTTAGTTTCATGTAATGCACAGATGTTTATGACTGTGAGTTACACCAGCAAAGGTTTATAATGGACGAGTGTCCTCAACATGGCGGAGCACCGACCTCCAGTCTCAAGACAGCGATACAGAGATGGAGACACGTGCGCGGCAAGAGGGGAGGGCTCCATGCTAGGCTAAAAGCTTGTGCTAGACAACCACTGCTACCCAGCCTCTTGCTAGGTAACGTGCAGTCTCTGGAAAACAAACTGGACTAGCTAAGAGCCAGGATTACAACACAGCAGGAAACAAGAGAGTGCTGCTGTCTAATTTTCACAGAGACCTGGTTGTCTGACACTGTCCCAGAATCCGCCGTTCAGCTACAGACTCACTCTGTATTCCGAAGAGACCAGACTACAGCCGCTGGTAAGGCCAAAGTGGGAGGTGTGTGTGTTTATCAACATCTCATGGTGTGGAGATGTACAGAAGTACAGTATAAGCACTGTTTGCCAGATGTAGAGTTTTTATTGCTGAAATGCTGTCCCTATTACCTACCAAGAAAATTTAGCTGTGTGTTTTTGGCTGGAATATACATTGCCCCAAGAGCTAATTCCACAGCAGCTCTCGGCAAACTCCATGATGTCATCAGTGCATTAGAGAGCTCACCCTGATGCTGTATTTATCGCCACAGGCAAATTTAATTACTGCAATCTACGGACTGTACTCCCCAAATACTACAAACATTTGGACATTCCCACCCGGGACAAGAACACACTGGATCATGTTTACAGCAACATACGTGGTGCATGCAGGGCTGCACCCCACCCCCATTTTTATCACTTGGACCACATTTCTTTGTTCTTGTATCCAGCTTACAGACAAAGACTGAAACAAATAAACCCTGTCACTAAACAAGTGAAACTTTGGACCCCAGAGACTGAAGGCATCCTGCAGGACTGTTTTGCTCAGACAGACTGGGATGTGTTTAAAGCTGCAACCACCTTGGAGGACTTTTCTGTCAGCGTACAGGATTATGCTGAGTATGTGACAGGGTACATCAGCACCTGTGTTGACAACATCGTGCTCGCCATACAAGTCAGGAGGTTTCCCAACCAGAAGCCCTGGATAAACAGTCAGGTACGCCACATGCTGCGTGCCCGCTCTCATGCATTGAGATCAGGCAATGAGACGGAGTACAAAGCTGCGAAGTAAAGACTGAGGAAAGCCATCACAGTGGCCAAGAGGCAGTACAGAGAGAAGCTGAGTGGCTTCTATTCTACTGCTGACTCCGGACAAATGTGGCAAGGCCTGCAGCACATCACAGACTACAGGACCAGCACCAGCATCATCAGCTCTACAGACAGCCTGCCGGATGACCTCAACACTCTCTACACCCGCTTTGAAACCTCCAGCTACAGCAGAGAGAGGAGGCACACAAACATCACTACAAACACTGGCACCCTACAGGGATGTGTCCTCAGTCCCATTCTCTACACCCTGTTCACCCATGACTATGTCACCTCCCACAAGACTTAGAATCAGAATCTGATTTAACAAAAATAAGCAGTATAAACAGGCAGTAAACAATGCAAACAGACAAGGAATGGTCATTGAATTGGATAGGAGTATAAATAGAGAACTGTACGGATTTGTATAATCTGTACAATGTATATTTACAGGTATTGCACCGAGGAAAGGTATTGCGCTGAGGGTTATTGTCCAGTCATACTGTAGTGGGTCAGGTGTTCATCAGAGTGACAGCCCGGGAGAAGAAATTGTCCCTGTGCCTGGTTGTCTTGGCATACAGTGACCTGTAACGCTGTCCAGAGGGGAGGAGTTTGTACAATTTGTGTCCTGGGTGTGAGGGGTCTGTAGTAATCCTCTCCACCCTCCAAGGACAACATCATCCTAAAGTTCACGGACAACACCGCTGTGACAGGTCGCATCTATTGGCGGGTACGAAGCAGCCTACAGGAGGGAGGTGGCCAGTCTGGTGTCATGGTGCAAAGACAATAATCTCAGCCTCAACACGGACAAGACGAAGGATTTGATGGTGGACATGAGGAAGGAGAGGAGAACTCATCAGCCACTGTTCATCTGGGGGCTCGAAGTGGAGAGGGTGAGCAGCTTCAAATACCTGGGCGTCCACATCAGTGAGGACCTCACTTAGACACTTAACACCACACAGCTGGTCATGCAGGCCCAATGGTGCCTGTACTTCCTGAGGAGGTTTGGCATGTCGCCTAGGATCCTTTGCAACTTCTACAGCTGCATCGTCAAGAGCATCTTGACCAGCTGCATCACCCATTCTTGCCCAGCTGCATCACCGTCTGGTATGGCAGCACTATTGCTATGGACCGCAAGCACCTGCAGAGAGTGGCAAAGACTGCGGAGAAGATCACCAGCACTCCACTGTCCTCTTTGCAGAGCATTTACCACCGCAGGGTGTGTAAGAAAGCTGCCTCCATCCTTAAAGACCTCACCGCCCCCAGCACAAACTGTGAAATGCAGGACCTCTAGACTGAAAAACTCGGTTCTGTACCGGAAACAAATTCAGAATGGCGTTATTGGCCAGGTGTGTTGGACAC